GGACCCCCACAGAGTCACCCCATGGGTGCTGGGACCCCCCTGGGACCCCCACAGCCTCACCCCATGGGACACTGGGGCACCACAGCACCCAAGGAGCCGGGGGGGGACTGTCCCCACACAAACCCTTGGCGGCAGGTGGGCGACACATCCTTCCATCCCCAGCACCCTGGAGCCCTAAAAATCCCCCCCTGGAGTGAGGCAGAGCACAGATATGGGGGGGAATCACAGCTGGGTGAGCACCCCCTGCCCCAAACAGGCCAGACCCCGCTGGCACCCCGAACCACACCCCAAACCGAACCCCGTGGGCTGGGGGTGGGCAGGCAGAGCCGACCCCTCGGAGTGGCCCCAGGATTTATTGGGAGCGCCCTCGTTGTGGTGCCGCAGGTGTCGGGTTGGGAAAACCTCCTCCATTCCCGCCGGGAAGTGCCGGCTCTTTCCGGCGGGGCCGGGGTGGTCCGGGCACCCCCCGCGCCCCCCGTGCCTTGCGTGGGCCCCGGGACACAGGGTGGCAGCGGGGCCGTGGGAACGGCAGCGCCGTTTCCTTCCATAAATTAAAATTAGTTTTGATCAGCTAAATTTAGCAGCCCTTGCAAGATGGTAAAATGGCAACGCGCTCGAGACAGGGGGGAAGCGGGACCGGCCCGGGGGGCACCGGGGCAGCCAAGGGCTGGCTGGTCCCCAACTGCCCCCCTGCCTGCAGCCCTGGGGATGGGGGGCTGCCATCCCAGCTCGGGGGTCCCGGGGTGCTGGTTGTCCCCAGCACTGGGTTCCCGGCCCTGTTGGCTTCCCAGCTTGGCTCTTGCCCCGTGGCCGTGGCTTGGGGACAGCGGGGACAGCGCCAGGTCTGCCCCCAAACTGGGAAGGGGGGCAAACCTCTCCCTGGTGAGGGTCCCATTAGGAGCACCTTGATCCCCCCCGTGGCTCTGCTCCCAGAGGGGGTTTTGGGGTGACTGGGGCTGGGGGATGGCAAAGGAATGAGAGTTGGGGCCATGTGGCAGCAGAGTGGGGGGTCACAATGGAGTCACAGTGGGGTCTCAACCCCGTGCCAGGCTCTGAGGGGTGCGGGCACCCCCCAAGCAGGGGGGGATGTGGGGTGCCCAAGCCCCTCGCCCTTCCCAGGGCCGGCTCACGTGGCCACTGGAGGTGGGTGGTTTCGCTTTGCCGTCTCCTCGTGCAGCCACTTCCTGGCCTGCTAATGGCGGAGGTCAAATTTAGCCTCTTAGTCTGAGCTAGAGATGAAATAAAAAAAGAAGAAATTATAAAAAAAAACCAACCCCCAACTGGAGCCCAAAACCAACCCCTTTGTCGGAGGGACCCTCCCCGCCGCCCGCCCTTAAATCCACCCTCCCCATCCCACGGACCCGCCGTCAGCAGCATCAGAGCAGCCCCCCGGCCTTGAGGGGGGAGCAGAGGGATGAAAAGTCTCATCCCGAGCTCCCGGTGAAGGATTTGGCATCCCAGTGCCGTGGTTTTCCAGCCGACACCCAGAGGTGCTCAGGGCCCGGGGTGATGGAGCCGGGGTGGCCGGGCAGGGCTGAGGGGGATTTTTTCCCCCCTCTACCCCATCAAAATTCCCCAATTTATTTATCTTTTTTTCCCCCCACTTTCCAGTTTGCTGCCATCTTTGCGGAAGACACAGAAAAAAAACCCCCAAAAACAAAACTTCCTCCGAAAAAGCTTTTTTTTTCTCTTTTTTTTTTATCTTTCTTTCTTTTTTTTTTTTTCTTTTTTCAGCAAAAGCTTATTTTTGGCGGTGCTGGGGCGGGGATGCTCGCTCGGGGCGGCCCTGGGGGCCGCGGGGCTCAGGGGCTTCTCGCTCTCTTCCAGCCCCGAAACCCGGCGCGGGAGGCGAAAATGGGCCGTAAAAAAATCCAGATCAGCCGAATATTGGACCAGAGGAACCGGCAGGTAGGACCCGCTCGGGGGGGGGGGCAGCAGGGACGGGGGGCAAAACCTCGGGGGTCTCAAACCCTGCAGAGGGGCCCCGGGAGGAGGGTGTGGGGGTCTCCAGCGTGGTGTCCCCCCCCCCCCCAAGGTGACGTTCACCAAGCGGAAATTCGGGCTGATGAAGAAGGCCTACGAGCTGAGCGTGCTGTGCGACTGCGAGATCGCCCTCATCATCTTCAACAGCACCAACCGGCTCTTCCAATACGCCAGCACCGACATGGACAAGGTGCTGCTCAAGTACACGGAGTACAGCGAGCCCCACGAGAGCCGCACCAACTCCGACATCCTCGAGGTACCGGCCCTGGGGGGGCGGCCCGGGGAGGGGGTCGGGGTGGCCGTGGGACCCCCCCTGATGGCCCCCGGCCCCCACCAGACGCTGAAGCGCAAGGGGCTGGGGCTGGAGAGCCACGAGCTGGAGCTGGACGAGGGCCCGGAGCCGGGGGACAAGGGGAGGAGGCTGAGCGAGGGCGTGGACCTGTCGGTGGCACGGAACAGGTTCTACGTGAGTCGCGGGTGGAGGGGGGGTGAGGGACCCCCAGAGACCCCATACCCTCTCCCCTGTCTGTGATCTTGGCCCTGCAGAGCCCTGAGTGTCCCCAAGAGTCCCCATCCCCTCCCTGTCCTTGATCTTGGCCCTGCAGAGCCCTGAGTGTCCCCAGGAGCCCCCATCCCCTCCCTGTCCTTGACCTCTCCTTTGGCCTGAGAGTCCCCGGGGTCCCCAAGGTCCTCATCCCCTCCTTCGACCTCTGCTTTGCCCTAAGGGTCCTCAGGAGTCCCCATCCCCTCCCTTGACCTCTCTTCTGCCTTGCAGGGCTCCGGGGGTCCCCTGCCTCGACCTCTGCCTCTCTCTGCACAGCCCCGAGGGTCCTCAGGGGTCCCCCAGGAGTCCGTGTCCCCTCCCTGTCCTTGACCTCTGTCTGTCCCCGCAGAGCCCGGTGCCGCTGCCCGAGGCCGCCTACGGCAGCTCCCCCCCGGCCACGGACACGGCCCTGGGCAGTGCCAGCAGCTCCCCCCAGAGCCAGGGCCGCTCCCCTGCCTTCAAACCAGCAGCCCCAAAGCCCCCAGGACGGTCCCCGGGGCCGCTGCCCCCAGGTAGGCTGGGATGCAGGGGAGGAGGTCCCTGCCGTGGGTGCCCCATCCCTGCTGTGGGCACCCCGTCCCCACCAGGGGTGCCCCACTCCTGCCATGAGAACTGTGTAGCTGCCATGGGAACCCTGTACCTGCCACGGGCACCTCATTCCTACTGTGGGCACCCTGACCTCGACACAGGCACCTCACCCCCACAACGGGCACCCCATGCCTGCCATGAGCACCCTGTTCCCACCGCAGGCATTATATCTTTATCATGGGCATCCCATCCACACCACGAGCACCCCATCCCTGCCATGGGTATCCCAACCCCACCGTGGGCACCACAACCCCACCATGGGCACCCCATCCCTGTCATGGATATCCCAACCCCACCACGAGCACCCCAACCCCACCACAAGCACCCCATCCCCACCACGAGCACCCCATCCCTGCCATGGATATCCCAAAACCACCGTGGGCACCCCAACCCCACCATGGGCACCCCATCCTTTCCATGGGCACCCCATCACCACCATGAGCACCCCGTCCCTGCCATGGATATCCCAACCCCATCATGGGCACCCCATCCACACCATGAGCACCCCATCCCTGCCATGAGCACCCCAACCCCACCATGGGCACCCCACCCTTTCCATGAGCACCCCAACCCCACCATGGGCACCCTATTCCCACCATGGGCACCCCATCCCTGCCATGGATATCCCAACCCCACCATGGGCACCCTATTCCCACCATGGGCACCTCATCCCTGCTGTGGATATCCCAACCCCACCATGGGCACCCCACCATGGGCACCCCACCCTTTCCATGAGCACCCCAACCCCATCATGGGCACCCTGTCCCCACCGTGAGCACCCTGTCCCCACCACAGGCACCCCATCCCCGCCATGAGCACCCCAACCCCATCATGGGCACCCCATCCCCGCCATGAGCACCCCAACCCCTCTGACCCCGCGGGGGTTTTCCCAGCCAGGCCCCACATGCAAAGCTGCCCTCGCAGCCTCTCCCGGGGATTTACCGGGCGCGGGGCCGGGGCGGCTGCGTGGGCAGGGAGAGCTGCTGCAGCTCCAGCTGTGGAAACACCGTCCCTGGGCCCCCCCTCCAGCTGCTTCCTGCCCCCCCCCAGCACCCAGCACCCAGCTGGCCCCTCACCCTGCACCCACAGCCCGAGCATGGCACGAGGGGCTCATCCTGCCCGGCAGCGACAGGGACCTGGCGGCCTCCAGGCTCACGTGGCTGATGGAAAAGCTGATGGAAAAAAAAAAAGATGCTGGGCCTTGACCAGTGGAAACCCCCCCGCCCCGGGTGGGTGGGTGGGGGGTGTGGGTGTGCAGCATCCCTGTCCATCTCCTCGGGGTGCTGGACATCCCCCCATGGGAGGTCCTGGGTGTTCCATGGGGAGTTGAGGTGTAGCAGGGTCTGGATGGGGGGTTTGCAGCCTGCTGGCACTGAGGTTGGGTGCCTTCGCGTGTCACCTCTTGTCACAGCCCGTGGCCACAGCCCAGCTGCACCAGTGGCCCACAGGATGTGGCCACGAGGGCACCGGGGCCGCCACCGTCACACCCGTGGGGATCCCCCCCCATCCACACATCCCTTGGAGCCACCCCCTGCATCCCCCTGTCCCTGTGTCCCTGCAGGTCTCGGCTACCCCCTGTTCCCCGCGGGAGGCCTGAACCGAGCCCTGGCCACCAAGACCCCCCCCCCGCTGTACCTGGGGGCCGAGGGCCGGCGCGGGGAAGCCCAGGGCAACCTGGCGAGCGCCCGGGGCGGCGGCAGCACCGCGGTGAGTCCGGCGCTGTCCCCTCCCCAAATCCAGCTCCTCCCAGCTCCCCTTGCCCACCCCAGCACCGGGGCTTTGCTGGGGGGCGCAGGAAGGGCGCGGGGTGGGGGGAGACGCTGCATTACGGCCTTCCCCCCCCCCCCGAGGGCTCTGGCGGCACAAAGCCTGACGGGCTCACCCCCTGCTCCCACAGCGGCCGCTGTACCCGGCCCTGCAGACCCTGAGCCCCGTCCTCGCCCCGGGCAGCTCCAGCATCCCCAGCCACGGCCTCGCCGGCTTCCCCTTCCTCAGCCCGGCCCAGGCGGGTGAGTCCTGGTCCCTCAGCCTTGGGACAACATCGACATCCTCCTCCCCTTCCCCCCCTCCCAACCTGTGGAACCCCCTCCCCCGGATCCTGCTCACTCCTGCCCTCCTGCCCGGCAGATTTCGGGGCTGGCGAGGTCCCGCCGCCCCCCGGGTTCCTGCAGCCCGGCCCCCCGGCGTGGCAGCACCCCCGGGACATGGCAGCGCTGGGGTAAGGACGGGGGAACTGCGGGCTGGGGGACGGGGGGGTGTCTGCCCGTGGGTGCCACCTCCCAGCCACGGGTGTTGCCAGCACCCAAGGCACAGCCCCCCACCCTCCACGCTGGTGCCTGTCCAGCTTCACCCCAAAATTGGGGTGTGTAGGGTCACCCCAGAACCCCCCCCCGGGTCGCCACTGTTGGCAGAGCCTGTTTCCAACTGGATTTCCCCATGTGCCCCCCCCGGTCACACACCGGGCTCCCAGCAGCTGGATGGGCACCCCTCCAGTGCCCAGCTGGGCCAGAGCCGGGGCATGACACGAGTTTGGGGGGGTCTCAGCCCCTCTAGGGATGAAAAGCAGGGGTGAGCTCAGCCTTTCTCCACCCCTCCAGGGAGACCCGGCCTCACCCCCTTCCCCTCTCGCCCCAGGGTCGGCAGCCGGATCGTCTCTGCCGAAGACCCTCCCCCGGCCCCCGGCTCCTCCCCGCAGCACCCAGCCGTCAGCATCAAGTCGGAGCGGGTCTCCCCGGGGCTGGGCTGCCCCTCGGGCACCCCCCAGCCCCCCCTGGCCAGCCTGGCGTCCCTCAGCGAAGCCTCCCGAGGCCCCGGAGACCTCCAGCCCCGGGATGACTACGCCAAGGGGTACCCCTACCCCCTCGGTGCCCACCCCCGGCCGCCGGCAGGGGAGGAGCAGAGGGTCGCGGTGCCCCCGCGGCGGGCGCAGCCCATGGACGTTTGGCAGAGATAGCGAGGCCGAGGGGGCGCGGGGTGGGAGGGGTGGGCCCGGGGGAAGCCGTGCTTGGGGGAGCAGCCCCCACCCTCAGGCCCTCGGGGAGCCCCCCCCGTGCCCTTTGAGAAGCACGAGTGGTGCCACGGGGGCTTCTGGTGGGGTCCCGCCCCCCCCACCCCGCTGCCCCCCACATGCCACCGACCCCCCCTCCCCGCTGCGCTGCCCCCTTGACCCCCTGCGAGGCCGGGACCCCCGGGGGCAAGGAGCGCTGCCCCGGTGCCCATCCCCGCCCGTCCCCGCCTGTCCCCAGCGAGCGGGAATGGCCGAGAAGTGCCACGCGGTGGCAGCAGGACTGAGAGCACCGGCAGCAGCTCCAACCCCGCAACCCCCTCGGCCCCAATCCTGCGTCCGGGGGGGGGGCTGCCGGGGTCCCGCAGTGAAGGGGGGAATGAGGGGGGAAAGAAGGGAGGGGGCAGCCGGGGTGGTGGGTGCTGTTCCCCCCACCCACCCACCCGCAGGGGCTCTTTTCTATTTATTATTATCTTCTCACCAATAAAGAGCTGGGGGTGTCGGGGTGTCTGGTGTGATCTTCTTGGGGTCAGGCCTCGTGCCTTGGGGTGGTGGGTCGTTAATGTCCCCGGGGGGAGAAACGGCCTTTTGTCGCAGCGTTGCTGTCCCCCCCACCCCGTATCCCCCAGGCTCAGAGCCACCTCTCCAGGGTCACCAGACAGCAAGGTGGGTGACAGCCGGGTCACCCCCAGGCTGGCCAGGTCCTTGAGTCCCAGCCGTGCCGCCCCCACCCCTCGGTGACCCCAAAAAGCTGCTCGGAGGGTCTCAGTGCCACAGCCCGGCGCTGGGAGCGGGTGGGAGGAGGAAAAACCCCTTCTGTGCCCTTAAGATCGGCACCGGCGGGGCAAGGGGGGGGTTAAGCGGAGGGGTGGGACCGGCCCGGCTGAGCTGTGACTCTTATAGCTCAGGGCTGGGCTGGGGATGGGGGTTCTGCCGCTTTTTGGGGTGGGGGATCATCCCCCGGGGCCTGTTGGGCACAGCCACGGTCACGGCCACGCCGTTGGGAGGTGAGTGAGGAGGGGAGGACCGGGGTCCTGCGGTGCCCACCGCCCCGGAGGGGGGTTTGTTGGGGGTGGTGGGTTCCCCCCAGCGCTGTCCGGGCACCCCTGGGTCAGGATCGGGGGTTTGGGGGGGTCCCTCCACACCACCAGCGCTGAGCTGGGCCCCTTCCCGCGGCGGGGGGGATTACTGAGCCGAGCCCCGAGATTAAAACCTGGGCGGGAGATTAATCCTGGGAAGAGTTTGCCCCGTTTAATAGAGCGACATAAATACCAGCCGGGATTAGGGGCTGCGCGGAGCCCCCGCAGCCCAGGGCTGGATCCGAGCTCGGCCCAGGGTCCCCCCCCCAGGATGGTGGGTTCCCTCCTGGGCCACCCTTGGGACTGGGAAGGGGCTCCTGCACGGGAAGAGGAGCCGAGACACCCGGTGAAAGTGTGGGGGCTGGGGTAAGAGACACTGATTGAATAGCAATGACTGCATGATTTATGGTTTGCATTATTGCATGGCTCATTTGAATATATGCTAATAAGGCTTTTCTCCCCGTTTTGTTTGTAAGATTTAGATTTGCTATGGCAACCCGCTGGCATGGAAGGAGCGCCAGGAAATGTCAGGGCGAGGTGAGCCCCGGGGAGGGGCTCGGGGCTGCCGGGGGGGGGAGAACTCGTCGCATCCCACCACTGGGACACGGGAATGGCCGGCGGGATCCGAAGGGCAGAGCGGGAGACCCGGAGCCACCGGAGCCACGGATCCCACCGGCACCTGCAGGTCCAGTAACGCCCCTTGCGACAGGTCCTGAACTGGGGTTGGGGGGTGCCCTGGGGTGCCCCCAGCCCCGCTTTGGTGCTGCAGAGAGGCCCCTCTGCCCCCAGCCTCGTGTCGCTGCTCACCTGCCCTGAGACCCCAGCGCAGGGGAGGGAGGGGGCGTCCCATCGCACTGGACCCAAAGGTGGCACCCAGGGACCCCCAGCTTTACTGGGGAGGGGGTGGACAGTGCTCGGGGTGACACTGGGAAGCGACAGAGCATCTGCGTTCGCTCTGCGTCCCCCACCATCCATCCCACGGGGTCCTGGCCCACCGCGGAGGGGTCTGGGCCATCTCTCCACCTCTGGAGCTCCGTGTCCCCTTCCCAGGTGGCCCGAGAGCTGCCCCAGTGAAGCCCAGTTACCTGCAGAGCCAGCACGGGGGGGTCTGTGCTGCTCCGGGGAGTGCTGGGCTCCAGCGCTCGGGGCTGCGGAGCCGGTGGGGCTTTGTCTGCCGGTCCGTGCGGGTCCCTCTCCCAGCGCGGGGGGGGATGTTGCTGTCGAGGGTCTGCACCCCGATTTGGGGGGGCTGTGCGCCTCGCAATCAGGGTGCTCCCTCGCTGGGGAAAGACGGGTGGGTTGGTTTCGGGGGCGTTGTCCCCTCCCCAGAGCCCTGGGGGAGCAGCCCCGTGTCACCGGATCCCAGCCCGGGGGGGGGGGTGGGCTGAAAGTCCGTGTCCCTCAGGGTGGCGGTGCCACCGAGGGGACACATCCCGGGTCCCTGCGCTGCCCCCTCCCCTCGGCTCTGCCCCCGGGCCTGTCCCCTCGGAGCCCCACGGCCACGCGTGACCGCGGGCAGGGCCGGGGACGCTCCGGGCTGTCGCGGTGGCCCCGGGACTGGGCACCGCGTGTCCCTGTAGCCACCCGGCCGCCAGGGCCACCCGCTCCGACGGGGGCCGGGCTCCGCTCCCGGGAACTGTTCCACGCCTTAAAACGGGGCAGGAACGAACCCCGGGGCTGGCGACGAGCGGCCGCGGCCCCGACGGATCGGAGGTGTCCGGTCCCTCCTCGCCGCCCCGTCGCAGCAAACCGGGGCCGAGCCGGGCACCGGGGGCTGCCTCCCTTCCCCCCCCCCCCGTGCATTCTCCCCCAAACACCCACTTTGTTGTTTTGCGAGAGCCCTGAAATATTGATGGCGCTGCGCCGAGCGCCTCTTAATGAATTTTTGATCAAAACTGTATCAGGGAGCCAAAATATGCCACCCATCCATCCGCCCCCCCCAAACCCGCGCCCATCGTGGGTGGGGGGCACCGGGCCCGCCGGTACCGGGGGGATGGAGGACCCTGGCCCGACCCAAGAGCCTTTTACCGGTGGAGATCCCCGGGCAACGCGGGGGTCTCACCGTCACTGAGGGCGGGGATCGCACCGCACAGCCGGGCACGGTTATTCCAGGGCTGGCGGCAGGATTTGGGGTGCCCGGCGTGCAGGCCCGGCCTCCTGCAGCCCGCGGGGCTGGGAGGGCCCGGCCGAGCCCCTTTGAAGCCCCGGCTGGACGGGACGGGCGGTGGGCGACCGGGGCAGCGAGTCCCGGTGCCCCCCAGCCCGGCCGGGAGAAATATTCGTTAATGAGGAAATGCATAAGCGGAGCTCATTAGGGGAGAGCACGGCGAGCCGGCGGCCTCCCCGGCAGCGCCGGGCCGGGGACTGCTCGTACCCGGGGCGGGCAGGGCTGGGGGGGCACCGGGGAGTCACCGGTGCGGTCCCGGCTCCGCCGCGGGGGCCCCGCGTCCCCATCGCTCCGGCGGCTGGAGGCGGGCACGGCCCATCCCGGCCCCGCTCGGTGCCTGGGGGTCTGCGGGGGGTTGTGCGTTTCTCTGTGTATCCCCTCCCCCCGGTGCCGAATTTGGGGCGCAAACCCCTCCGAGCGCTGCGCGAAGCCGCCGATTTTTAGCGCTCCGAAAATCCGGGTGCGGCGGCGAAGCGAGGGCGGGGTGGGGGTGTGAGGGGGGAGGGAATCCGTTCCCGGCCGCTTCGGGGCCTGTAGCTGTTGACCCCCCCGGAGAGGTGGGCGGGGGGGGCGGATTTTTGGTTTAATTAAATAAAAATGGCCAATTTCTGCTTCATTTCCACGGAATAATCCTGCACCGGCCGGGAACGGGGCGCCCCTGCCCCAGCCCCTCCCGCAGCCCCCGGAGGGGGGTAACAACAGGAGGATCCCCCAAATCCCCCCCGTCAAATCACCCCTTGGGGTGTCCCGAACCCTGAGGGTCCCGCAGCACCCAGGGAAGGGAGAAGACGCGGAGCGGGGGGGGGGCTCGAACTCGTCCCCGCCACCCGCTGCCCGTGCGGGGCCGCATCCGCGGGGTCACTGGCATTACTATTATTATTATTATATATATTTTTTTCAAATAATAAAATCCTCGTTATTTTTAGGTTCTGCTGCCAGAGCCGCCCCCGCCCCCGCGGGCCCCCCCCCCCCCCCCAGCCCGGTGCCCCCCCCACCAGCGCAGGGCTAACCTATCCCGCTCCCGACGTGAGGACGTCATTCCTTACGTAGTAAAATATGGAGAAAGCAAGGGGAAAAAAAAAAAAAAAAAAAAAGACGCATTTTTCCCTCCTCTCTCCCATCTCCATTTCCAAAAGGGACAAAATGGATGTTTGGGCGGAATCCGCCCCCCCCCCCATGCCACCCCGAGGCCCCGCCGGCGGCCGGGCCGGGGCTGCCCGGTTCCTCTCGGGGGGGAGTTCCTGGCGTTAAAGCCCCGGGCAGACGTTCTCTGTTTAACCCCACGTAAAGGCAACGTGATCGCGGGGGGCTCCGCTTCCCACAGCCCTGCCGCTCCCGGCCGGTCCTCTCCGGGAGCCGCAGCCCGGCTCCCGCACCGCCTGGATGGCCCCGGGCTCCGCGTCCTGCCCGCAGCCGGGGCCGGTTCCCCCCGTCCCCGCCCCGGAGGCTGCCGGTGTCCCGGCGGCTCTCGGCTCCCGCTGTCGCTAAGTCATTAATGGATGCGGATGTGCGGAGGGAGGTAAATAATCCCCCCCACTCCCCTTTTTTTCGTCGCTGTTCTTTTCCTCCCCCTCTCCCTGCCCCGCACTGAACTCGCCGGGCCGGGGCGGCTGCCGGTGCTGCCGGTGCTGCCCGCAGGAGGGGCAGGGCTGTGCGGGCACCGGCGGCCGCCCCGCTCCCCCTCCCGCTTCTCCCAACTTGGA